AGAAGTCTGTTTCCAAAGATGAAGTGCTCCATGGAAAGCGTGAGCAAGAATCATTGAGCCATCTGGGCTGAACTGACAGTCAAAAAATCCAAGCGTATTTCCTCCTACTTCTCCTATTCGGACCTTTTGAAAAAATAAGATACAATATGCATGAATGTGTGTGCCTTCTCCCTACTAATTAAGGACTGTGAGGAAAAGGTATATGATTCAGAATTACATCCAAAGTGAAGTTAAAAGAATGTCATTCTAGAAGTATTCAAATATCTTGCGCAATTAAAAAACCACATTAATACAGACCTTTTCAAAATAGAGGCTTGCAAGATAGTTGCAAGAAGTATGCAAGTTCATATAAAATGAATAATTGTTTTGATAGTGGTATGTTTCCCTAGGGGCTGATCAAATGCTACAATATTAACCAGTCACATAATCAACCTCTAAAAATTCTTTCACGTATTTTTGCATGAAGGCAGTTACTTTTAAATGCTTCGTTTACTTGCCAAAATCAAAGGCAGCTTGCAATGTAAAAAGTGCTTCTTCAAATGGTGCCTAATCCATTTGATCCAGACTGATTTCCTGCAAAACAGTTGTTAAATGCTAAGCCAGTTCCACCCTTTCCCTATCCAGTGTCTGTTTTCATGTGCAACTCATGCCAGATTCCCTCGTGACTATGGTTGGCTAGGCCAGTTTCAACAAAAGTTCCAATTTAAAAAGAACCCTAATTTGTACCTGGGTACATGCAACTCAAGACTGTGGTTAATGCCAGGCAGGGAAATCACTTTAGAAAGGAAGCAAAAGAATATGCACAAGCCTGGGTCACAATTTGCAAAGTATGTTTTTCATTATTTTTATTAAGGTCAAGATGCAGCAATGGGCACTGATTGGCTTAAAAAGAAAAAGTAGATGAATTTGTTAGAAGATAGACTATCATTGATTATCAATCCTGACAGTAAATTAGAGCCTCCATGTACAGAAGGAGCATACAATTGAGTACTGCCTAGAGCAGTGCTTCTCAACTTTGGGAACTTTAAGATGTGTGGGCTTCAACTCCCAGAATTCCCCAGCCAGCCATGCTGGT